CCTACCAGATGGTCAGACTTCTTCATCAAGATCATGAACGATCGGTTTGAGGCTCTTCATGTTCCCAGAGCGAACAGATGCCATTGGGCTACACTGGCACGCGACAGGGACAAATGGAGATGTTACTGGCGCCCACTTGAGGACGATTAACGGGAAGTCAAGTGATCAAGTGAATGTTCACTGCAAGGTCAACACGCACCATCAACCTTTCCTCAGATGAGATATCTAGCTATAAGGACATAAAGGATGAGCCGACAATGCTAAGGGCTTATCCCAAAAATAAATCCATGAATTTGTAGTGAAATGCTTTGCTTGACAGTTTGACACTTCCCTCTAGGAATATTCAGCTGTATTACGTGGAAACAGAGAAGATAAACTGTCACGTTTATAGAACTGATGTTTGGGGGTAGTTCTGACAGAAGGATGCTGAAGGTGTAAAGAAATTGAGGGTACTAAGGAGAGTTATTTAAGGAAAGTTATCCACCACAGAGTTCGGTTTAGGTAGAAAAAGATGAGAAACTTGGGTGCAAGGCACTGACAGCCTCCATGGCTCAGAAAACATTTACTATCCCGGGCACAGTATGAATGTGTGAGTTTAAGATTTGTAAATAGAGCTCCAAATGATTAAAAGGCAAGCCTTTGATCATGTTACCAGGTTTCTAGACCAAAAGAAACAAGTATATGACTTGGTGAAAGACAAGGAACAGTGATACAAGAAAGTGGACCTGACCATTGCTGTGAAAGCAAAAGGCATGCTGGTGACGGGGATGGAGAGGCTAATTATGGTGCATGGCTGGCATCCCAGAGGCCCTGATACAGGTAACCTGAGGCACAGATAATAGTTGTTATATATTTTGTTTTGAGCAAGAAATCAAATAAAGAGGTTTGGATACCATTGTAGGATAACTTTTCTTCTCTTATGGAATTACCTAACTGTATCCCTGTTCTAAGACAGAACTTTTTGGTAACTATCACTCTCACTGTCCTCCCATTGTTCATCGATTTGCTCGAGCGGGCCCAGTAACGTCTCCATTGGAGACTTTGTTGTTACTGTGTCTGGCATCTCGAATACGTCACGGGGAGCTTGCCAGGCTCTGCCGTGCGGGCGAGATACTCTCGGTAGTTGGCCGGGCTCTCCGAGAGGGGCGGAGGAATCGAACTCGGGTCGGCCATGTTGGCTGCATGCAAGGCAAACGCCCTACCCGCTGTGCTATCACTCCAGCCCTTTTTGGTAACTAAAAAATTAAAACACTTATGCCATAAGAGTCTATCTCACAGTGATTAAATTTAAAAACTCTTAAAACCCAAATTTAAAAAAATAAAAGAGCCTATGCCTTCTAGAAATTCTCTTTCTCTTCCCGCTCTCTCTATGTATACATTAATTTTAATTTTTATTTTTGGCTGGAGTGATAGCACAGTGGTAAGGCATTTGCCTTGCAAGTGGCTGGCCCAGCCAAGCTGGGTTCGATTCCTCCGCCCCTCTCAGAGAGCCCAGCAAGCTACCGAGAGTATCTTGCCCACAGAGCCAAAGCCTGGCAAGCTAACCATGACATATTCAATATGCCAAACACAGTAACAACAAGTCTCACAATGGAGACATTACTGAGCCTCCTCGAGCAAATCCATGAACAATGGGAGGACAGTGCTACAGTGCTATTTTTGAGTTACCATGAGACATGGAGTTACAAAGCTGATCATGGTTGGGTTTTAGTCATATAGTGTTCCAATGCCCGTCCCTCCGCCGGTGCACATTTCCTACCACCAATGTCTCCAATTTCTCTCTCACCACCCTTCCCCCAGCCTGTCTCTATGGTAGGGACTTTTCTTCTTTCTCTGTCTCTCTGTTTCTCTCTCTCTCTCTCTCTCTCTCTCTCTCTCTCTCTCTCTCTCTCCTTTGAGATATTATGGGTGGTGCAAAACAGGAACTGTTAGATCATGTTTGTTCCTTTACCTATTCTCAGCATGCAGTTCTTATCCAGAGTGATGATTTGCAACTATCTGCAAAGATGAAACACCACTGACCAAGCAAGTAGAAGCAAAGATGAACAAATGAAACTACATTAAACTGAAAAAGCTTCTGCACCTCAAAAGAAATAGTGATCAATATACAAAGACAGCCCGTGGATTAGGAAAAGTTATTTACCCAATACCAATTTGATAAGGTGTTAATATCGAAGATATATAAGGCACTGTTAGAACTTTCCAAGAAATAAAGTGTCCAACCACATCAAGAAATGGGGAGAAGAAATGAACAGAAACTTTCACAAAGAAGAAATACAAATCGCCGAAAGGCACGTGAATGAATGCTCTATAACTCTAATCATCAGGGAGATGCAAATCAAAACAACTATGAGATATCATCTCACACCACAGAGACTGGCACACAACAAAAAGAACAAGAGCAACAATATGTTGGTGTGGATGCGAGGAGAAGGGGAGTCTTCTTCATTGTTGGTGGGAATCCTGACTGGTCCAGTCTTTTTGAAAAACAATATTGGCATTCCTCAAAAAGCTAGAAATTGAGCTTCCATGTGACCCAGAAATACCACTTCTGGGAATATACCCCAATGGTCCAAAAACACACAGTAGAAATTAAATTCTTCACTTCTATTTTCATTGCAGCTCTATTCACAAAGCCAGAATCTAGAAACAACTAAGTGCCTGAGAACAGATGACTGGTTAAAGAAACTACAGTACATCTACAAATGAAATACTATGCAGCTCTGAGAAAAAGTTATGAAATTTTCTTATAAATGGATGGAAATGGAGAATATTATGATGAGTGAAATGAGTCAGGAGAGGGATAGATAAATAATATCTGGACTCAATTATGGGATATTTAAAAAATATGAGACCAACACCTAAGGACAATAGAAACAAGGGCAGGAGGATTGGTCTGCAGTTGGAAGTCTGTCTCAAATGCTGGGAAAGAAGACAGTTTGGATAGAGGAGGGACCACCATGACAAAGAGAATTGAAAACAATGTATATTTTTAAAGTGTCTAAAGTACAAAAACAAATCCTTCTAAACCAAAGTTTTCTCCAGTATTTAAAATGATTTTTCATTTTTCTTCTACATCTTTCATGTTGATTTTCAGATTACAGCTCATCATTTGAGAATAGTAAACAATGTTTTCCTTCCTAGGGAAAAATATTAAAACCTTATGAGATTTGGGAGCACACTGTCAGCAAGACAGTAATTTAATACACTTTCTAGATGGATTGTTTTTAGGTAGGTTTCTTTACATAACTAGTATCGTAATAGATGGAAAGTGGTCTTAGCAAGAAGATCCTTGAGGATAGTTCATATAACCAATGATAGAATTTCACTTTGGTAGGAAATAAATAATACTTTGCAAATCAAAAAAGAGGTAAAGTGAGGACCTTCGATTATATAGGCCTGCCCTCATTTCTCTCCATGTTGACTAGAGTTCCATCCTACGTTCTATACAAATAAAATTTACACACTGATGCTTAATAGCTTCCAGTACAAATGTTATGGCTACGAAATATGTACAACCACAATTAACAATAACACCTTTACTCTTTAAAATGAAAATAAACAAAGAATACTTACTTTAAAAGGTCTCTATAACTTGTATAATTCAAAGTTAGTTAAATCTCTAAAATATAAATAAACGTCCATTGCTGCCATATAATAAAATATGGGCCTATTAAAGGTTAATAGCCATCATTTTAGTGGATAAAATAGAAGTATAAATAAAGACTGATGTTTCAATGAATAAGGTATGTGAATATCAATGCCCTCAAAGAAATTTCTAAACATAACCACATGTCAACAATGAAAGCAACCGCAAATTAATTAAATTATTTCTTTCTATTTCATTACTTCTATTTTTTTACAGAAACATATCATATATAATACTTCTTTAACTGTATAGGAGAATAATTTTTAACTTTAGTTGAGTCGATACATTATATCATTCAAGAGTAACATGAAACAGGAAAATCTAATAGAACTCAAGAGTTATTCATCTTTCTATATTGCAATTTGAGATAAAGATCAGGAATAAATTCCTCTCCGTACACAAAACCTCAGAAGAACAACGACAGAAAGGGCAATGGTTCAATATTTGCTTTTAAGCGACCAGGACAATGCTGGCATGGGGCTCTTTTCATCGCCTTTACCTGGCATCCTCTAATCTTACCCTGGATACAGATTTTTTTGGTACAAAATTCCATTTGAAGCTACAGTAGCTACACTGCAGCATTTAGATAAAGAGCCATGGGTTGTAGAATGCTGGATCTCTTGTTCAGAAAAGGAGAAAAAAAATGTTGCTGTTTACAGCATACTTGTTCCAATGGAGCCCAGAAATGAATTGCTATGGTGATGAAAAATCCTTCACAACACAAAGCAGAAACAGATGCATGTTAATACCACTGCACTTGTTAAATGCCAATTAACACTTTCACTTGTCAATGCCGGTTAAAAACACATCTTGGTCTCTATCCATGAGAAAATACATGAATCATAGAAATTAGAGCTAGAATTTTAAATCTCTTCCTACATATGGTTTCCAGTGTTCAAAATCTCTGAGACTGTCTCCTTCTCACGGACAATCAAACAATAATTCAAAAAAATTGTTTTTCCCCATGCGCCCTGAAAGCTAATTGCTCCGCAGCTCATTTTGGTCTGCCTTTTCTTCCTTTCTCCTTTCTCCCCAACAGCCCTCTCCCTTCTGATGTTGACTCCCACACCACAGATGGCCACTAGCCTCCTATTAAGAAGAGATGTTACAGGGTGTCCTTACATCAACAGTATGCCAAGGGCTGTCCTGAGCGTTTTCCCTGGTTCCCAGTAAGCAGTTCTGCCTTAATCTGCTCGCCCTTTCCACTAACTTTAGATAACATTGCATTATAATATACAATCCAAGCTACCCCCACACAGCTCTCCCTCAAGCCCTCTTGCAGCGAACACCACAGCGCACAACCGCAGCCTTTTAAAGTTCCTGAAAGCTTTAAGGAAAGACTTCCCTTTACCTGGGGTGTGGTCTGAACGTTCCCTGCTAAGATGCACGAGTTCATTTGGAAGTAATTGTTCCCGCAGTCACTCAGAAGCCCCTGTTCTGGAAGCATTGATTCATCGCATAAGGGAGTGAGCAAACCAATGACTGAGGTGGGAAGGGAGTCTCTCACTAAAACAACACACACATTCACACAGGAAAGAAAAAAAAAATTCTAAAAAGAGGTAAAGTGGAATCCTCCCTGCACTAAAGAATGTTGCAGTTCCAAAGAGTAGCTTTAAGTTTAAGCAATTTTCAGATTTGCAAGTTCATCAGCAGTCAGGATGACTGCTGAAATAGAATCAGTGTGAATTTTTTTAAATGCAACCTATATGTGTTTGCCCTCTTTTCTCTTATGCATAGATTCCAATGATACATTCGGCAAAAAAGAACAGAGAAGCCAGATTGTACTGCAATAAGAAGTTGATTGAAGGGCCCGAGCATCTGCCAATCTCTGTAATCATTTGGTCACCCTCACAGAGAACATTCAGAAATACAAATACATGTTAACAGTGCATCTAAATAAGGAAACTGGAAAATGCACAGCCATCATTTCAAAAATCATTAGCTTTGGATTCTTGGCGTATAAATAGCAAGTGAAAATACAAGATCATCTGTAGTGACTGAAGTTTTGCTGCTAACCAAATTCAATCTAAAATAACGCTTGGAATCCAGTTGTTTTTGAAAGCGAAATTCTATTTCAGCATTCCTGAAAGATAGCAAGTGTCCTCCTGGCAGAGAAACAGACCTCAAAACTTCACATATGAAATTAATTGGAGTCCTCGGCTTTCTTTTTCTCTATTTTCTGAGTATTGATTTTTTCCCCAAATCTCTAATATCTATATTGGAGCTTTTGGCAATGAATGATGGGTCCCAAGGGCAAGTGACAGATCAAAGGCCATGGGGAAGGAATGGAGGGTTTGATGTGGTGACAAGACACCAATTAACATTTTCAATTTTAGCCAATGCCTAAGTTGGTAAAAACATGACAAATTAAATAATTGTCAAAGTGGACAAATCTATCACCATACAGAAGGAAATTCTTCCAAATAATAATACTTTTAGAAGTAGAGTATGATCTAAATTTCAGAATATGAACATTATGCCATATCACACCACCCAGTAATGTGTTCTCTTGTATAATTTGTACATTTGTGGATTTCTACCAGACAATAGAAAGCCCTCTGCCTTGCAGAGCTTATATCCCAAAGAACAGCACAAAGTATGGAGCTCCCAAACTTTATACATAAACCACCTGGAGATCTTGCTACTGTGCAGGTTCTCCTTGAGGAGATGTGGAATTTTCACGTTTTCTGTGTTTTCAACAAGATCTGTATCACTTGTGGAGCTACGATTGAGACCATTTGGAGGACAGTGAGGCCACAGATATCTGTGGTCACTCAAGGAGAAAGTGACATTTGAGCTGTGCCCAGAAGGGGTGAGAATGGGGCAGAGAGCACTCATGCCATGAACAGAGAAAAGCGTGTAAGAAGGCGCCTCTCGGAAGAACAGAATGCAGAAGGTGGCACTAAACAGGATAGATCTCTAAAAGACTCAAAAAGAGTCGCTTCTTTTTGGGGCAGAATCTCTAGTGAGACTCTCATAGATTCAGCCCTCTCACTGGTGAAATGTGGGCAAACAGAGTCCTTATTTCACAATCATCCTCAAATATAAGGATGTTTATTTAGTTCAATATTCAAAGCTGAATATGAGAGATCAATAATAAAAGTGAGAATATTGGCAAATCAGAGTAAGAAAGCAGCGATAATCTAATAAACCATCGAAAATCTTGGGGCTGGAGAAATAATACAGTGGGTAAAGCTCTTGCCTTGTATGTAGCTGACCCAGGTCCAATTCCAAGCTTTCCATATGGTCCCTCAAGTCCAACCTGAGTAAATGCCTGACAAAAGAGTAAGGAGTATGCCCTGAGAACAACCAGCCCTGCTCCCAAAACAGAAAAAAAATTAAACAGAAAAAAATATCTTGAATTAAGGGAATTAATGTGATTTAATACTATGTTATAAAGAAGGTGAATTATATTCACAAAATATGCATGTATTTCCAAACATCAATAGTAATATAAATATACCTTCTTACAAAAGTCTATTGTCATTCTCCAAGGAAACTGGCAATCAGGAATTTTTCAATGGTGCGATCAGTTTATTCTAAGTGAATCCCAATTATAAAGTTCTTCTTCCATATCTCATTCCTTTATTTTCTGATCTTTCTTCATCCCTCCCCAAATACAAAGCAATATTAACATATTTGAACAACCAAATTTTGAAGAGTAAGGAACTGAGAGGTAATGCAAGAGTTAAGATACCTGCCCTATGTGCAACCAATTCCTATTCAATTTCTGGCTCTGCACAGGGCACTCAGAGCACTGCCAATAATAGCCTCTGAGAACAGAGCCAGGTTAAACCCTGAGCCCCTCAACAAAATAGAAAAGGAATTTTTCAGTTCCTCCATATTGTCCTACTTGGAATCCTCCTTGAATCATAACAGTGTGAAAACCAATGAAATAAATCCATTCTTTTACTATTCTGGTCTGCATCTTATTGGCAACTTCTGTTTCCCTTGTTTTAGTAATTAGAACTTATTGGTATAATAGACTGTTAGCTGTTCTCAATAGAAGTCAGAACTTTTCACTTTATAAAAGACATAAGGGCCATGCATGGGCTTGACAGCTAGTACAGTAAATAAGTCTTGCATGCATTAAACCTGGATTCGATCCTCAGCAATCTATGTGGTCCCTTGAGCCCCACCAGAAGTAATCCTTTGAGCATATAGCCTGCCAGTTGTGGCCCAATAACAAAAACAACACAAAATAAAACATATAATGGCCATACAGCCATGCATTATAATAGCATGTATCAGCCATATGGTTAGTAACTATACACAATTTCAAAGAATGCATGTATTCAGGAAAGTTCCTATAGAAACCATTCTCATTTGGATAGAAAATTATGACAACTTGCCTGAAACTGGCAACTATCGCCCGATCTGCCTATTGTCTGTCATCTACAAGTTGTTCACTCGAGTCATCCTAAATAGGATTGGCAGAACACTAGATGAAGGACAACCATGGGAGCAAGCAGGGTTCCGCAAAGGATTCAGCACCATCAACCATATCCACACGATAACCAAGCTCATTGAGGTTTCTCGGGAGTTCAAGATGCCGCTCTGTTTAACGTTCATTGATTTAAAGAAGGCCTTTGATTCTGTTGAGACGGAAGCGGTCATTGAAGCCCTAGCCAATCAGGGCATTCAAGCCCAATACATCAGGATCCTCCGTGAGCTCTATTGCGGATTCACTACCAGGATCTCACCATTCTACAAAGAAGTGATCGTTGATGTCAAGAGAGGGGTACGGCAGGGTGATACCATTTCACCAAAACTCTTCAGTGCCACCCTCGAGAACATCATGCGACGACTGGAATGGGAAGGAATGGGAGTGAAGATAGATGGTCGGCAACTACACCACCTCCGCTTTGCTGATGACATTGTTTTAATAACACCAAACATCAGCCAAGCGGCACAAATGCTGGCCAACTTTGACCGTGAGTGTGGAAAGGTAGGACTACAGCTGAATCTTATGAAGACAATGTTTATGAGAAACAGCCTTGTTCCTGACGCCCCATTCGCTCTCAATGGAACGACCATCTCCAAATGCAACAGCTATGTGTACCTAGGTCGAGAGGTCAACATGACAAATGACCTGGCACCCGAGTTGCGCAGGAGGAAGAGAGCAGCTTGGAACGCCTTCAAGAACGTCGAAGTAATAGCTAAGAGGACGAAGAACCTCCGGCTCTGGGCACATCTCTTTGATTCCACTGTTCTTCCTGCATTAACATATGCCTCAGAGACCTGGGCCCTACGCAAACAAGATGAGAACGCTATTCAAGTCTCCCAAAGAAGAATAGAAAGAGCTATGCTTGGAATATCACCTTTCACTCAAATGAGAGAAAGAGTCCGGAGTTCTGACATCCGTCGACAAACAAGAATCAGGGATGCTGTCTCATTTGCCAAGGTGTCGAAAATCAGATGGGCTGGTCACGTAATGAGATTTAAAGACGACCGCTGGACTAGAGCTGTTACCGACTGGATTCCACAGGATGTCAAAAGACCGCGTGGCCGCCCACCTACCAGATGGTCAGACTTCTTTGTCAAGATCATGAATGATCGGTTTGAGGCCCTTCATGTTCCTGAAGTGAACAGATGCCATTGGGCTACACTAGCACGCGACAGGGACGAATGGAGACGTTACTGGCGCCTGCTCGAGCAAATCGACGACTAATGGGAAGTTAAGTGATTAAGTGATTAAGTGCCCGAAACTCAGGATCCACTCTCAGATAACAAAGAGCAAGTAAAGTACTCCCACAGGGTTCAGGGGAGTAGGGAGAGAGTCTTCTCCAACTATATATACTGTATATAGCACTGCACTGTAGTACTGTCCTCCCGTTGTTCATCAATTTGCTCAAGCTGGCACCAGTAACGTCTCCATTGTGAGACTTGATATTACTGTTTTTGGCATATCGAATATGTCATGGGGAGCTTGTCAGGCTTTGCCATATGGGTGAGATACTCCCGGTAGCTTGCTGAGCTCTCCGAGAGGGGTAGAAAAATCAAACCTGGGTCGGCCGGGTGCAAGGCAAACGCCTTACCTGCTGTGATAAATATATAAATACTACAGACAGAAGGATCTCTCTTCTTCTAAGGAGCAGAAACTACTTACAAAAACTATATATCTTTCAATAAAATGTATCAAATTTTGCAACAAATAAACACAATTAAAAATACTCTTTAAAATCTGGTATTACTGGGAAGGAGAGATAATATAGTAGTGAGACCTTTGTCTCCACACTGCTCTGTCAGCGATGACCCTGGATCAAATCCTGATGTCACATGTGTTCCCGAGTGCCACCAGGGACCACCCCGAGCAAAGAGCCAGAAATAAACCCTGAGCACCATGTATGGCAGCCCAGTGCATAATGCCCCACCTGCACCAAGAAATCTGGTGTTATTGGTGGCTGAAGCAGGGGTTCTCCATCCCTATTATTAAGTTGATATTAC